CCCCACCCCCCGTCGCCTGTGCCCACCTCCCACACTGCGTGGCCCCTGGGGCCAGGGTCTTCCCGCTGTGTGCTGGACCTGGGCATGAGGGGTAAAGATGCCCAGCGCCCCATGCTGCCTCTAGTGTGCAGTGAATTTCCCCCCTGGACAGCTCCTCTCCAAGGTGCAGAGACTCAGTTCCACTTTGTCAATGGCTGGGTGGATCCCCAGAAATCCTGGCACCTGGGGAGGCTGGTGGAGAGGGGAGGGCGAGGTGAATATGTCAGTTTATTCCAACACAAGTAGTGGCCTGTTGGTGGTGGTTGTTGGGGGGGAGGACCTGAGGAAATATTTGGGATGACTGGAGCCGGCTGGCCCTTTAAGGCTCCTGTAACAGGACACCTCCCTGAGACGGGACAGGACAGACAGGGCTGAGGCTTCCACCCTCAGCCTGACTGTGAGTGTTTTTTTTCCCCTTCTCTCCTCCCCCTTCCCGCGTCAGGCCCAGTTCAATTTGCTCAGCAGCACCATGGACCAGATGAGCAGCCGCGCGGCCTCGGCCAGCCCCTACACCCCGGAGCACACTGCCAGCGTGCCCACCCACTCGCCCTACGCACAGCCCAGCTCCACCTTCGACACCATGTCGCCAGCGCCTGTCATCCCCTCCAACACCGACTACCCTGGCCCCCACCACTTCGAGGTCACCTTCCAGCAGTCTAGCACGGCCAAGTCTGCCACCTGGACGGTGAGTTGCCCCTGCTCCCAGCGGGTATCTGCCAGGCTGCGGTTGGGGAGTGAGTGACGCGAGTCCCAAGCACCGTGGAAGGGCTGAGCACCCGTCCACACAGGGTTCTCACCTGGCCCGGACTAGGAGGTGTGTCTGGCAGGAGGCGGGTCTTGAGGCTGGGCAGTCTAGGTGTGCCCACCCCCGGGTGTGTGGCCAGAGCTGGCCAGCCTCTCACAGGGCCCCAGAAGGGATGGATGAGGCCCCGCTGGTGCGTCCATCAGACAGGGTCAGACCATGCTGCCAAGACTGTCTGGAAGCTTTTTCTGCACTCAGTTGGGGGCTCTAGTTTGAAGTCCTGTCCTGGGCAGGGGCTTGTGGTCTTTGCTGCTCAAAGTCCTCTGAGGCTACCCCAGGTTCATGGACGCTGCCTCCTCCAGGCAGCAAGGTCTGTGTACTGTCGGTAGATTTGGGCTTTGCCAGCACTATCTCTGGGTGTCATCCTCAGGCATTGGCATGAGACAGAGGTCAGGGTGGAACTACAGCACCGAGGTCTCAGGCCCCTACTACAGGGCTTGTGGGGACATTTTGCCATCTGTGGTACGGTCTCATACACGCATGGCCATTCGCCGAGAGCTGGACACTGCGTTAGGTGCTTTGAGTTTAGTCCACTATTGAAATTAGCCAGCAACTCACAAAGTCAAGGTAACTACTCTTCCCATTTTACAGCCAAGGAAGCAGAGGCACAGGAGGGAAAGTAACTTGCTCAGAGTTAGGCAAATAGTGAGTGTGGGTGCTGGTGTGGGAGCCCGGGTGGCATCTGTGTCCCTAACCACTGAGTGGCACTGCTGCTGGGAGAGGGAGGGGCTGCCAGGAGGGGCAGGGGAACGGTGTCCTTCCACGCTGAGGAGGAGGAGAGCCAGCCAGCCCTGGAACGGCAAGCATACCAGGCAGATCCAGCTCACTGAGCAGCTTTCCTTTCTCCACGGCTTCCATCTACTCTGGGAACAGCTCGGTGCTGACCCCCAGCTCCACTTGGAAACGGACTTCTGACCAAAGAAGTCCAAGCGGTCTGGCTGTGTTCCCGCCCCTTCAAGGCACTGAGCAGGTGACCCCCTCTTTAAGAACCATGGTTCCCACGACCCTTCAAGCAGTAGCTACGGTTTTCTCAGCTCATGGAGGGCCAGAGGGCAGGGTGGAGCCTAAGGTAGCCTTTGTCAAGCTGCCCAAGTGACCTGAGAGACAACCCTACGGGCTGGCCAGGGGTCTGGGCTCCCGACCACGGCCCCCTTGTGGTTGTTTCTGGTCCTCACAGCTGCAAAGCGAAACCTCAACTCGGATTCCAGGGCTTGGATGAGCCCAGAGGGTTACTGAGGCGTTTGGTCTGGGGATCCCCACCCAGTATTGCAGACCCCAGCATCATGCCTGGCTTCTGCATTTGTAAATTGGCACTCCATGCTCCTTACCACATCTCGGGGAGCAGGGGTGATGGCGCTTGTGACTACGCAGTACCCAGCGCGGAGTTTAGCTTCGCGTGTTGCCTTTAGTATTGTGCGGCGGTGGTGGTGGCCAGTGCTATCGAGCCTGGTCCTCCTGAACAAGTTCTTCTGCACTTGCTGCACCTGCTGGAGGGGTCTATTGCCTGTGGGGAGAGGAGGGCCAGGATGATTCCTCCACCCCAGCTTTGAAGTCTATCTAGCTGGGTGACCTGAAGCCAGATCAGGAAGCCACCAGAGGCATCCCTACACCTGCATATGTGTAGTGACAGGAGGCTCACTACAGCTCGTCGTCCATGTCCTAAGTCCTTCCTCTTCCCTCTAAGGGGGGGCGCCCCTGGTCCCTTCCACACTGGCATTCTGTTCTCAGGGTCTGAGTTGGTGGGGTTTCTGAAACAGTATCCCCCTTGGAATTCTGGCAGGCAGATTGTGGGAGCTTTCTCTCTCCTTTCCATTGTTTGAGGATGCTGGTGGGGTCTCTGCAGTGCCTGGGGGCTTAGGGCACTGCAGATGCTGGTCCTCAGGGAGCGGCAGGAACTACCTCCTCAACTGGCTGCCTCATCCATCAGGGGGCCTCTCACTGTCCCCGTGCCAAGGTGTATGGTGTCAGGGACGTATGATTTGGTCTCAAGTGGCCCCATGAGTGACCTGCTCAGGACAGAGCCCAGCCTGGCCAACCACACCAGCCTAACACAGTGGCTATGCTTCCAAGCTCCGACTCCCACCTGGTGCTGGGCACAGAGACCTTCCTCCCCACCAAGCCCTCTGAGGCTTTAGTGGAGCCGCGTTAGGGAGGATGCTGCTGCCTGCCCCATGGCTCTTCCTCCCCAGCCCTGTCAATATGGGGCGGAGGTGGGACGAACATTGATAATGAGATTTTTGGCACCTCAGCTCTCTGGGAGCAGAGCCCCACCCCCCAGGGCTCCTTCCCTTGCCCAGGGAGCAGGCAGGCAGGAGGCCGGCTCACAGCACAGAACTGGGCTGCCAGGCAGCTTGCCTGCTCTTGGCCCTCAGGGGTCCAACTGCGAGGGCGCTGCCCAGACTTGCTGCCCATCCTCAGCACTATGCCACACTCGGCCCCCACCTTGCCAGCCAGCTGGTAACTGATAGATAATTCATATCTTTCTCAAGTACAGTTCCACATGGACTGCTGTGCTGCCTTCATGCCTCTCCCCCATGGGGAAAACACCCTCCCCCTCCCCAAGTGACCACAGCTGTTAATGGGGCCTTTGGCCTCTGTTTCACTGAGCCCCACTGAGAGTCCTCCCAGCCCTGTGTGGTCCATCTGCCCTGACTAGCTTTCCTCAGACCTCAGATCTCCTTAGGCACAAAGGGGTCTGGAGACCTAGTGTGTGTGCCTGTGTATTCACACATGGGCACACAGACACAAGCATGCAGACACAAGTGCACATATGTGTGCATGATGTATGAACGTGCACATGTGCATGTGTGTGCACACACAGGCATGTATGTATACTTGCAGGTCTTCCCTGATTGTTGCCCAGGGTTCTGGCATCACAGAAGGCCAGGAGGAAGGGGAGGAGGAGGCAGTTGCAGGTAACTGAGCAGCGGAAAAGGGCTTCATGTTTGGCCATGAGACTAAACCAGAGACCTGTGATGGGGCAAGGCTGGAGTTTGTGTAGCAGGTGAGGGTGGAGTTGAGCCACCTGCTAGGGTTGGGTCCTGGACCTGCTGTGATGTCACACTGTGTCACCTCTCTACCCCCCGGTTTTCTCAGTGGTAAAGGGATTTGCAGCTGCTGCTCACGGTGGGCACCAGTGAGCTGGCTGGTAGGACTTCTTAGGACAGGGCCTGGCACCTAGGGAACACCCACAAACATTCGCTGTCTGAAGTCATCTTGGCTGAGGCTTGTCCCATGTCAGGACCCATCAGAGATTTGGGGAAAGACAGAACCAGGACAGATTACAGTTGTGAGGGAGGGTCTGGCACTCAGCGGGCACTGATGCTCATGGGTGGGTGGACGAGTGGAGCGGGGCAAGAGTAGTCACACCAGTTTTCCTTGTCCCAGTTCCACCCCCTCCCACCGCCAGGACTAGGGTCAGAAGCTGGGCAGGGATTTCTGCAGACCCTGATGTCTATTCTTGCCTCAGCACCTTTTCCCAGGAGCCCCTTGGTGCTAAGAGGAAGAACAGGAGTGATTACTTTTGTAACCCTAGCTCTGCCTCACCAGGGAAGGTGGCTGGCTCCAGTGATTGGGACGTGGGGAACGGGGCTCCGTAATCAGACAAGATGGTCTATCTGGTTGGAATCTCTGCCCAGTGTAGCCTCTGTGAGCACCATGGGGCAAGCTAGCTGACTGGCAACAGAGGCCGCCCTGAGGCGCAGTGGTGAGGTGTGCAGTGTGCAGGTGTGCTGGCTCGGCTGGCTCCAGGAGCCCTCTGGATAGACAGATAGCCTGGACATGGCCCCCTGAGTGACCTCCAGCTGGCAAGTGTGTGTGTCCATCCTGGGAGAGAGCTGGTTCCACGTGGCAGGAGAGCCCCCGCCCCTTCTCACCCCTGGAGGAGCAAGCAGAAGGCAGGCCAGGGAAGCACAAAAGCTCTACAAGGGATTCCTGCAGAGAATGACGCTGAGTCAACCTAATGGATTCAGGAGAAAACTTTCCAGCCCCTCGAAGGTTCACAAGTAGAAGAATAATAGCGGAGGTGTCCCAACACGATCCTGGTATCAATTGCGTTATCCTAAAAGTTTATGGAATGCATAAGTGGAATTAATACCTTTTACTGGCACCAGAAGCAATTATATGTATTTAAAGCTGAGGGAAGAGTTCTAACAATGTTTATTGTGAAGATGAAACATGGATTATTAGGGGAAACAAGAGCACTTAGGGAGAAATTGCAGCAATTGCTGGTACTATGCAGAGCTCTGCAGAGAGGGATGCCTCCAGCAGGCTGGTTCTGGTTGGGATCAGTGCTTCAGACTTGCAGTCTGAGATGGGGTGATCTCTTCTCTCTCCATCCTCCCAAGCAGCGGCAGGAGACCATGATCCCTGGAGCCCAGCATTTGGCCCTGGAGGCCTTGAGTAGGCTGGAGAAGCTCCAGCTATAAGTTCCTTGGTCCAGTGGTCACAGCCTGGTTATGAGCTCACTGGTCCCAGAAAGGGTGCCCCCAGCCCGTGATTCCATTCCATGGGATTGGGACTGTGGACAGGCAAGATCCAATTTATGTTTTATGAAAAATCATCTATTTTCTAGGGCTTGTGTTCAAAAACAAAGATACTCCATGGACCTATTGTATTATTGGAAAAGTCATGACGCATTTTTGCATAGAAAAACACAGAAAAAATACCTCTGGACTTTTCTGACAACCCAGTAGAATGTCTGGTTAGTAGTGTCGACAGTAACATCGCAGAGCCTCCTGGGGCAGGTTCTACAGCCATGGTAGGCAGATGTGCTTACTCTCCCCTCTTTACAGATGGGGAAACTGAGGCTCTCAGAGGGCAGATCAAGGTCACTTGTCGTCCAAGGGTGGAGCTGGAGCCTGAGCTCTGATCCCTGACTTGGA